TCTTGCATTTGCTTTTCAGCCACTGTGTTTCCCTTCCTTCCCGGTTTTAAGTCATCTATTATTTCATTGTGTCATTCATGACAACAGGAACAAGCTCAATAGCAAAGCTCTAGCTTGTCTTTGTATCTTTACCTCTGAGTCTCTCCCAGAAAAAAATGGATTTTTATGGAAATGTTTTTCATGATTTCTAAAAACCCTTTTCAGTTTTCACGAAGTCAGCTTTATTTTTATTTTGACTACCTCCAGAAAGACTGAGTCTTTTTTTTTTTTTTCATGTTGCCATGACTCTCCTCAGACATGGTGATTTTTGTTGCAAAATCCTCCATTTTTCCTTTTATTGACTCCTTTGTCATTCCTCTCAAAATGTTTATGATATTTCAGGGCAGTATCAGAGATATTTTTTACTTGAATCTTCTTAAGCAATTTAAAAAAATCCTATTTCTGCCTAGGACGTTTGAGATGTTGCTGGACATCTGTTGTTGTGTTTTGTTGTGTTTTTTTAAAATCAGTGCCTACAGAATCTCTGAGATAAAAATGAACCTTGAATGTATAGCTAAGCTTGTTTGGTATATGAAGCTATCGCTGCCACGCCAGCAAACCATCCCCGGCCAGGGAGCTGACCTGTGTGTAACCTACATTTGTAAGGCCACCAAATGTAGGCTTGTGTCAGAGAGTAATTCCTGGACTTCTCTGTGTTTCTGAAAAGGAAAACTAATGCCACTTCACAGTGTGCCCTCCACCTCTGCCGTGACCCACTACTTCTCTTTTGACCCTTTCTCTATTCATATACCAGAGGTGTACCCTGGGAAATTTTATGGTTAATACGCTTGAAAACAGAAAGCTGCAGTGTTCACCTCATTTGCACAGGCACCTTTGGAGGCCTACTAGAAGTTGTTTTTTTTAATCTCATTTGAGCCACGTGTTATGTAGAAAACGGTGAGTTGGTAAATGATCTCATTTGCTGCTTTGAAATGGACAGCCACGAAAATAGGACCCAAATGCTTGGTTGATAGCTAACATTTACTTTCAGTTCTTAGCACTGGTCAGACTATTCAAATAAAGGTATAGAGGAATTGTGTCTTGCTCCAGCTTGGGGATGAAGGAGGAGAAAGGACCCACAAAACCAGCAGAAGAATATTACTTTTTGCAGCCTCTGTTGCTCCTTCAGGTTAGCCCCTAGACTGTGTTTCCATCCCCTTTGCGGCTGAGCACTGTGTTTCCTTCCGCCATTGCAGAAAACAGATAACACTAACTCTGAGAATAGTTTCCTTGCTCTCTCCACCTGCAATACAAAGATTTCTGGTCTCCAGTCTCTAGGAATCCTCAGGGATGTGATTTGTCCAGATACCAGTTCTGCCTCTGCCGAGTGCTCAGACATCAGCTGCCGGCAGCACGTGGACCGCTCCAGCGCCAAAGTGGTTGGCATTCTCTGATGTCACAGGGACTGCCGCCCCACCACTGGCACCACCACCCTGGCAGCACTGACACATTACTTTCCCCAAAATCTGGTTTGCGTTCCAGCAGCTCCATCATTTTGTTTTCCATAAAGAAAGCCTCTTGGTGCTTCTTGCAGCTCCCACTCTCCTGAGAACTCACCCACAAGTCTCCAGAGCCAGCTGGCACGTGCATCATTGTTAGAGTCACGTTTCTCTTTGATAACTTGAGTGTTGCTCTGATTCTTCCTTGAGACAGAGGAACCAGGGGCAGTTTTGCAACTACTATCCTAGGCCTGGAGACACGCTCGTTACAACTGGGGGAAGCCCAGCAAGGTGCGTGCCAGCTCCTCCCACGCTAGGGCATTAGCTGGTCTAGAATGTCAGTGGTGCTGAGAAGCTGCGCCTTCAGGTGAATGCTCACCCTGAGAGAACAGTCAGTGCCTCTTCCAAACAGGTCTGGGTCAGACTCAGAAACCACCGTGCCCAGTCCTCACACATGGCTAGTTTGCATTTGCTGTCTTGTTGAGTCTTCTTCCACCCAGCTCTGCAAACCACTCAGCTTGATGGTGGAGTCCTGGACAGTAAGACCAGGTAGACCATGTTACAGTGACCTGGGGGAGGCAGACACCAGGTTGACCTTGGGAGTCCCGACTGGCCTGCCTAGCTGCCTTTATGCTGGGGCATGGACAACCGTCCATCTTCTCTGTCCATGTGCATGTGAACACACCAGTAACAGAACTCCCAGACATGCATGAGGCCCCAGGGGAGAGAGAACTGTCAACATGGAAGTAACTGGGAGCGGTGTTTTTGACTGAAACTATATCTTCATTGGCCTCAGTCCTTTGTGTTACAATATCCTGGGGGAGAAGCAACTGTTATATAGGTAAAAATGCCTGAAAAGACATGACCTTTATGATACAGAAACAGAAGGCTCAGATTCTTCCAGATGAAGGAGAATGGCCAAACAAGGATGTAGCACTGGTGCAAAGCAGCCGTGTGAAATGGAGCTTCCTCAGAGGTTCTAGGGAAGTTGGGATTCCCCAGGATTCATCCACAGGTTTCCCTACAACACTATGTAATTGCCATGGAGATGTGCCATGGAGACACCCAAGTTAACTTGAGGGAGCCAGGCAGCATATGTCCAGGTGTAAACAATCAGACCCAAACACATCTCCCCAGGTACACAGCCGCCCACATAGTGAGAATTGCTCCGAAAAAACAAAAATTTCAAGAGCTGTCAGAGCAGGCAACGGTATTTCTGCAGTATTCGGCTTCTGTTCCAACAGAGCATGTGTTAACTGTGTATAGTTTTAGTCATGCACACTAGATGGAGAACTTTTCAAGGGCCGACATTCCTTCTTCTTATTTAAAGATCCTCTCAGAGAGTATCCGGCACATGTTTGGCTGTTGCTTTTTGCAGAAGTGAAGAAAGGAATAAATAAATAAATGGAATGGAATCCTAGAGGTGGACATCGGAACAAATTCTGCTTTTCCCTCAGCTGGTGAATGAAGCAAAGTCCAGTGTATATTTATTCTATTCCTTGAAAACAAGAAGTGCTTTGAATAGATTTTAAAATGTCCGCAAAGATGCTGCGAGAAAAATGAGAAAGCTTTTTATGCATGCTCAGTGGGTGACCCTCTCCTGATTCTGGGATGGATTTTTTCCAACTGCACACACGGTTTTAAAGTACTGTGTCTGTGCTTTTATTCTACCCTGGCACAGGAAGTGAAAGCATTATGTGGCAAGTCTGCAAAAGGGATCTTTTATGTTCAGAGGCTTTGTTGTGGGTAGGTGATGATGATTCAGTTTCCAGGGATAGGGCCGGGAAAGGAAGCTCTTGGTTTCGAAGTGTGCTGTCATTCCCCAAGCCTGGATTCCAGGTCCCCTGTCTATTTCTAAGTGCTCTGTCATCAGTCTGGGTTCCTGAGACAATGCTTACATTTCTTACAAAAAAAAACCAAAATTCTCAGAACTAAGCCTGGAAGCGTGCCTCTAGCCCAGAATTCCCTCCTTCTTTCTACCTTTCTAAACCCAGCCCATCCTTCAGGACTCCACATTCCAGTCCACAGGACTTCCTCTGCTTTCTGAATTCTGTCTAGCTTTTATTGGTGCCACAAGGGATCTAAGCATTTTAAGTTCATTCTGTTTTTCAAGGAAGTGTTTTGAGAGAAAGAACTGTATCTTTTATTTCTTTGGACTTCTCCCCAGCAGCCCCTGCAAGGCAGTCACTCACTTTTATGCCATTATAAAAAGTATTGAATAAATTGGCCTTTGTAATCAGAGCTCAGGAATTTCTGGAAAGCTATGTTGTGGATTGTTTTTTGGAAGTCATGGAAAGTAACTCACATAGAGACAAAAAGACCAAATAGAGGGAATACACAATGTCATAATATACCCTACTAGTAGATGTTATCCATTAACTGGCTTCCAGTTATGTACATACATGTACACCTGTACATGCATGCAGACTCATGTATACAAGACACATATTCACACATGCACATATATATCCATATGTATGTATTTCTACACATGTAGACATCTACTCACACTTGCATGTATATGAGGCACACCCCAGGCAGAGGCTCTCACCAGATTAACAAGGGGTTTCTATGGAGAAGCAGGAATAGACCAGTCCAGAACCAGAGCTGACCCTAGACCAGTGGTGTCCAGTGCTGCAGCAGGCAGAGTCACAGAAAGAGATGGGGAAGCGATGACGGTACTTGTGTCTGCCAGAGCAGGGTGTGATGCAGTGGCTGTGTTCCTGGCCTGCCACTCCTGGGAGACCAGTCATGCATGACACTGGATGTGATGACATGAGGGTCCTCAATGGAAGAATGGCTTTTCACCCTGATTCTTCAGTCTTTAAGAAACTTGTGTTTGGCACATGTCATTGACAAGGAGTTGTCTTACCCTCTCTGAACTTTTTTTTTTTTTAAGATTTATTTATTTATGCTTACAGAACTGGGGTACAGGCCAGAGGTGCAGTGGATGAGAGGATTCACCAGAGACAGAGTGGGGAGCAGAACAGGCAGATGTACTGAAATACACTTCTGAGGGGAACAGTGAGTGGGTCAAAGGAGGTCTGCCTTGCCATGTGGGTCAGCTCCCTGGCCATGGATCGAACTTGTACTACAGTGACTACGGAGAGCTTCATAGTGTGGTGCTTTAACCTGTTGTGTTACCAGGGAGAGCCCCCTCTCTGAACTTCTTAACTTTCTCAACTGCCACGTGGCGTTGGTGTTTCCATACTTCATTTGTTCCTTATGTGAGGACCAGAGCCCTTTTCATGACACTGAATGGCCCCTGGGCTAAACGTGTGGAAGATGCAACCTGTGGCCTCTTGCAGCTAAGTTTTCATCGAGTACATCTGTACATTAAGTTTCACTATACCTTTGGTAAGATAAATGCAAATACAGAGCATTGTGGGGCCGAAAGTGTCTTCGTGTCCCGTGTCCCCTCTCTGCCCTCCGAGTGGTTCATTTACCTTATTTGTCCTCTCCTTTGGGCCTTGTCTGTTATTATGAAAAGAGGACCAGACGTACCTGTGTTTTGTTTCCTAGGGAGATGTGCATCCAACAGGATGGGAGAATTCATCTCACCGTTGTTTACTTTGGCAAAGAAGAAATGAATGAGGTCAAAGGAATTCTTGAAAACACTTCCAAGTGAGTACGATGTGGCGTGGTAACGAGGAGCCATGGTAACTGAGTTCAGAAGTACAGATCCCAGCCTGGAACTGCTCCTTTTGTTTTGTTTTTCCCTAACACTATAGACAAGCTGGGAGATTAATGGGCTGCGGGCCCTGTGTCGGGGAGTCCCGGGCCCCCTTCCTGGGAGACCACCCCGCCTGACAGTGGTCCTCTTTGTGCTGGGGGTTGACTTTGACAGTTGAGATGAACTACCCTGAGCAGCAAGGTTGGGGATCATGGGCTGCTTCCGGCTTCCCATGACAGGAGGCCAGCTCTCTCGCACCGCAGGCCTGGGGCTTGATGAGGCAAAGTGGGCACTGGAGCAGCACACTGGCCAGTGAGTGCCTTCTGCACCAAGGAGTACGGCTGAGTGAGACTCATGCTGGGTCTTGTCGCTAGCAAATGGCCTCACCCTTCTGAATGAATGATTCAAATTCACATCCTTGAATTTGCCAGTGAACAGGCTTTCACATGTCTAGAATTGTCCATCTGTGGGCATGGATTTTTTTTTTTTTCTTCAACTAGGTTTCTTGATAATTCTGTCATTTAGCTATGATTGGGAACAATTATCTGAGAAAGTGGTGGCCCACTGCAGGGGGTGCCCTGAGAGTCCTGACTGCAGCCAGTGTCCCCATTACAGTGTAAAGTTAGTTAACCACTGAACAACCCAGCTTTGAACTGCATGGGTCCACTTAGATACAAAACTGTTTTCAAGAAATATACAGTTGAGGCTCTTCCTGGTGGTGCAGTGGGTTAAAGCACCACATTATGAAGTGCTTCAAAGCCACTGCAGCATGAGTTCAATTCCCAGCCCGGGAGGTGACCCACATGGCACGGCAGACCTCTCCTGACCCACCTGCTGCTCCCCTCAGATTTTACTTTGTCAATCTGCCAGTCCTGTTCCCTACTCTGTCTCTGGTGAATCCTCTCACCCACCACACCTCTGGCCTGTCCCCTAGATCTGTTGAATAAATCTTAAAAAAAAAAAAAAAGAAATATACAGTTGACCCTTGAACCCCATGTAGTCAAAAACACTCTTAAATCTATTTTTTTCTTCCTTGTGATTATCTTAATAACATTTTCTTTTCTGTAGCTTACTTCATTCTAAGAATGTACTTAAAGCAGGTAATATGTTAAATACATATTAATAGTTTCTGTCATCAGTAAGACTTCCAGTCAGTAGCAGGCAGCAGTAGTTAAGTTGTGAGTGAGTTAGAAATAATACATGAACTTTAGACTGTGCGGGGTCAACACCCCAAACCCCTCCATTGTTCAGGGATTAACTGTATTTCTAAGCAGCTCACCTCTCCTATGCAGCCAGGATTGGGAACCCCCATCCCTTGGGGCATATCCCCTTCCCAGATCAACAAAGATTGGCCAACTATTTATTAAGAGAAACATATAACCCAATTGACACAAGTCTTGTGGATAAACGGAGGCCAGTGTAAACACTGTGTTGGGAAATGGCCCTTCAGCAACTAGGTGTCTCATCAAGGCCTTCTGTTCCTTCAGACCCCTCCACCAAAAGGTTGCTTGGTGCACAAAGAATGAGTAGTATCTGGCCAAGAAAAGTCAAATCATTTGAACAGTTAAAATGGTTTACTCAGGGCCCTCTCTGGTGGCACAAGCCACAGCCACTTCAGCATGATCCCCACCCTGGAGGTGATCCACATAGGCAGCAGACTTCTTACCTGCCCGCTGCTGCCCTCAGAAGTGTACTTCGTCGATCTGCCTGTTCTGCTTCCCACTCTGTCTCTGGTGATTCCTCTTACCACCCCTGTACCTGTGGCTTGTACCCCATTTCTGTATGCATAAATAAATCTTAAAACAAAAGTTTAATAAAAAGTGTGGAAAATTTAGAACTGCCTCTTCACCCCCCTTCTTTCTCACCTGCCACTCCTTTCCACATCTCCTTTACCTTTGGTGTGAGAAAAAACCACTTCCTGAGCCAGTGGAGCCATTTCTCTCACTGCCACTTCCCCCCCCACACACACACACACACATACCGATCCCATACTGGTTCACACTGGTCCATCCTCCAGTCCCTCTTCCACCCCCTCGATTGCAATCAATTGATTTTTGACTACATGTCAATACTTTTTACCAAAGGATCTATAATTTGGAGCATTTGACCTCCTTTAATAAAAGTATAAATAATGGCCCACCCTAGTGGTGCAACAGGTTTGGACGCAGCACTGCACTTCTCCTGTGAGTTCGATCCCCAACCCTGGAGGTGACCCACATGGCGCGGCAGACCTCTCCTGACCCTCCCTCTGCTCCCCTCAGCAGTGTACTTTGTCGGTCTGACTATTCTGCCCCCCACTTTGTCTCTGGTGAATCCTCTCACCGCCTTTGTACCTCTGGCCTGTACCCCAGTTCTCTATGTCTAAATAAATAAATAAATCTTTTTTTTAAAAAAAAGAATAAATAACAAGAAATTGTGGAGGAGAAGATTTCCTGGGAGGATAATCTAAAAGACTGATTATGAAAAAGTAGCCAGGAATATGTTTAGCTTTAAATTGTTTATTCAAATGTCTCCAGTAGGTAGAACACATAGTCAATTTCAATGTTTAGAGCAGTTAGAGTTAAAATTTTCAATTATAATTGAAGGTGATACTGGTTTCTACTCAGAGTTGTTTTTTGTTTCTTTTTTAAATGAAGGGCTGTTGTGGGAATTGTCACGTTAAGAGAATTTCCTTGTGATGATGGGAAGAAGTCTGTATTAGAGTAAATCATATTAGATAGCAAGTCCTTTATCATTTTTAATCCAGCCATTCTGGGAAATGTAGTCAATTAGAGAAATTAAATCTCTGGTGGCAACAGTGGCTTTCTCAGGTCATTATAACTTCTGTTAGAATGATGAAAATTTGAAGGGTACCATGACCTAGCCTTATTATATAAAAGAAAAGAATTGGTGAAAAACTCAAGCATTTTCTCAGTTAATAATATAGTTTGAGAGGAAATAGTCACGAGTAACCATGTGGCCTTTGGAATCACACCCTGCAATCACAGGAAGAACGTAGGTGGTGTAGAATAGCATGTGAAAAATGCTGTGTCTCTGCTGGGCCAGCCCGTGCAGCGTGCCACTAAATACTGCATTTCTTTGTGTGGGTAAATTAAATTGCATCTTATTTCCAGTTACTTACCTATTTGTCATCCTTTTAAAAAGCTTGGGGTTGTGTCTGTGCTTGGGAATCCATTGACTGGACCCACTTTCTGACGTGGAGGGGGACTTAGGATGCAGAGTGGAAGCTCCCAAAGGAAGAAGCCCCGGGCAGCACAGTGCCCAGTCTGAAATATGCCTCCAGGTTCTCCACTGATGAGCTGTTGACCCACCCTCCGTGTCTGGTGTGTGCCACTTTCTGCATAGTGTCAGATAATCTCAGAAGGCAGAAAAAAGAAATCAAGACCAAGTCCCTGCCCTCCAAGGGACCACATGAGGCCTTTGGTGTGTGTCTGCACGATGCACAAGTGGGTGCTGTGACGGGAAGACAGAGGCAGAACTGGGCAGAAAGCCTGTGAGCCCAGAGGGACCAACTTCTAGCAAGGCATGAGAGGCAGGGCGCTTGACGTGGGTGAAGACCGAGTGGGATTTTCATTGGAGTGGAGAAAGATGGTGCATTATGGGGAGGCTCCGAGCAGAAACAGGAGGCCCAGCTATGTCCACACCATCTTCAGGTGGTTACTGTGTGCATGTGGGATGGAGAGAGGACCAAATGGGGTTCCAGACTGTGTGTTCCTGTGGCTGTGTTCCTGTAGCCTGGCCATGTTGTGTGCATCACAAAACCATAACAGTCAGACCCAGGGAGACACAGCGGTGTTTTGCACCGAAATGTGTCCTGGCTTAAACATGGCTCAACTTCTCTTCACTCAGTTTCTCACACTGTTGAGAAGGGGCTGCTCTGGCCCAACAAGCAGCGTTTCTGTGTAAAGGTACCGGGCTTGTGGCAGGAAGGGGCTCAGCTCTTCTGCAGAAGCCTCCCTGTGTTTTGGAGCAGGTGCTGGTGAATTGGAGGTGAGGGCAGGGCAGGCTCCTCATTATTCCCCCCACCCCCACCTTCCCCTACTCCCCCGGTCCTTTATGCTCCTGCCATGAGTGAAACCCTCCAGTATTTTTCTTTTCCTTCCTGGCTTATTTCACCAAGTTTCCAACTCTTTCTCAGCAGAGAATGCTTGTTTATTTTCAGCGGCCCTTCCTGAGCAAGAGAGGAAAAGGTAGGGTTCCTCCACCCAGAAATTCTAGGTACGGTTAACGACCTGCAGCAGACTCCTAGCTGAACACATTGATTTGGTGCCAAGGTGGGAACCAAAGTGGGTGATAGTCCGGGTCTCCTGCAGCCCATGATTGGCTGACAGTGCGTCCCAGGCCAGCAAGGACTGTCCCAGCTGGCCGTGTGTGCACTCGTGGCCTGCTGCCTCACGGGTCTTCCAGCCGGGGCTGTCGCTGGGCGTGCCACCCGGCAGTGGTAAGGGAGCACGTCTCTGCAGGCAGCGCAGGGTGGGTAGGGCTCTCAGGTGGGCGGGGGGTGGGGGAAGGGCAGGACATGCACAGAGACCGATGGCACTGCCTGTGCATAGCACTCGTGGCGCTGAGGGGCTGCTGTGTGGACAGAGCTGGGTGCCATGGTCTCCGGCTTTCTCCCCAGCCTGCCGACACATTAGCGTGAGTTTGACATGCGAGTCAAGTTTGGGTAGTGCCACTGACGGAGCGTGGATTGCTTATCCTCGTAGAGAGGTCGGATGAAGAGAAAAGGCAGCAGATTGCCTTTTGCACTAGACCATATGGAACGTCCTCGGCATCCATTTTCTCAAAGTCTCTCTCTAGAGGCAACATATTCAAGCATAGACATTGATTAAGACTTCTTTTTGTTGTTTATTTTCTTAATTGAGGTGTTCTGGTTTACAACACAGTATAAGATTCAGAAATATGGGATCCACCTCTTCAGGGATATGTTACAGCTCTCAGCCACCACCATCGCCTCCACCCTAGACCACTGGCACGCGCCTCCTTCCTTTTCCTCTCTAACACCCCCCACTGGTAGCCTCAGTGTTTTTTCTGTTTTAAAGATTTGTTTATTTCTGGATACAAGAACTGGGGTACAGGCCAGAGATTGGGGGGAGTGAGAGATCTCACGAGAGACAGAGTGGGGAACAGAACAAGCAGATGTACTGAAATATACTGCTGAGCGGAGCAGTGGGCAGGTCAGGAGAGGTCTGCCATGCCATGTGGGTCAGCTCCCTGGCCAGGGGGGATCAAACTGGTGCTGCAGTGGCTGCGGAAAGCTTCACAGTGCTGCTCTTCAACTCATGGCACCACCAGCCTCAGTTTTATATTCACATTTCTAGGGTTTGTTTTTGGTTTGGTGTTGTGTGACTATTTTGTTTCCTATATTCCACATATGAGTGAAACTGTCTAGTGTTTGTCTTTCTTCCTCTATTTTGCTTAGCAAAATTCCCTCCAGTCCTATGTTATCACAAAGAGCAAGATTTCATCTTCAGATGTGTGTGTGTGTGTACATATATATCTGTGTGTGTGTGTGTGTGTATATATATATATATATATATATAAACTATTCCACTGTGTACATGCATCACATCTTCCTAATCCTCTTATCTGCTCTTGGGCATTTAGGCTGTTTCTATAACTTGGTTATTGTAAAATGTTCTGTTTTGATATAGGCATGCAGAGAAGTGCTTTTGCATTCTTCTGGTAGATACCTGGGAGTGGGATTGCTGGGTCATATGGGAGATCTATTTTTATTTTTTAAGAAGCTTTCATGCTATTTCCTGTAGGGACTGAACCAGTCTACATTCCCACCAATAGTGTAAAAAGATAAAAGTTCCTCTTTCTCCACATCCTTGTCAACACTTGTTGTTTCTGGACTTTTTATATAGGCCATTCTCACAGGTGCCAGATCTCACTGGGTTTTGATTTGCATTTACTTAATGATGAATGATGGTGAGCATTTTTTCATGCCCCTATAGGCCATCTGTATGTCTTCTTTGCAGAAGTTTTTATTTAGCTCTTCTACCCAGTTTTTGATTGGGTAAGACATTTTAAAAAGTTCTAAATTAAGGTCATCTCTAGCACTAAGTACAATGATTCTTCCATCCTTCTTCCATAATTATGACTGATAGACAAGCCCTGCTTTCCACCCCCCCCCCAGGCAAAGTGGGGAACAGAATTTATTAGCAGCAGCTCAATCCAAGATGTAGGGACTATTTGAACAGAAGAAGTAGGTTAACTTATGTACAGTAAAGCTATAGCTCTTCCTCAGCTCACAATGGATGACATCCCAATAAAATCATATTGAAAATACTGTGAGTCAAAAATGCATTTAATACTTGTAACCTCCTGAACATTGTAATTTAGCCCAACTTAACTTGCACATGCTCACAACACTTTAGCATACAGTGAGATAAAACCATTTAGCAGCATGTCTATTTTATCATAAAGTATTGACTATCTCAAACACAGGTGGGTTTTGTGGACATGATGGGATGCAAAACAAAGTGTCCACAAGGTGCTGGCAACACAGCGCTCTGCAGAGCACTGATTGTTCACGATGGTGACCGGGTGGCCACCTGGAGCTGCGCCGCCGCCACTGATCAGTATTATGAGAATGTGTCTGGGAAAGGATCAAAATTCCAAGGGCTATCTCTATTGCTTTTATGGCATTGCTTTTATGGCAAAGTAAAACTAATCTTAAATTGGACCATCCATAAGTCAGGGATTACCATTGACAGACTGAGATACTATTCACTTGCCAAAATTTGCAGAGTTCATCTGTCCATCATTTTTTCAACAATTAAATTTATTTTATTCTATTATAATATTTTTACATTTCATCTTTTTCCATCTCAACTGTAATCCCCGTGGATTTAGCATCACCAAATTACTCACATGCCATCACCATAGTCCTGTGCACTTCTTCCCCTGCCCCCATTTTTGATCCCATTTCCCACCCCACCCCTTAAAATGTCTTTGGTATATTGTTCATCATTATTATTTTTTCCGCTGGTCCTTTATGCTTCTGCTATGAGTGAAATGATCCAGTGATTTTCTTTTTCTTTCTTTTTCTTTCTCTGAACCCTTCTAGCTCCATCCATGTTGCTGCAAAAGGCATGCATTTATCTTTTTGATTGCCAAGTAATATTCCATTAAACAATTAAATTTTTAATGTTGTTACCTCACTTTCTTATACCATGTGTTTTCTTAGCTTGTATTCAAGTAGTCAACATAACTTGATTTTTATAAGTACTTGATATTATGTCTCTACAGATAGACTGTATGGTATTCAAAAATCCAGCAGTTTCTCTAATGCAGAATATGCAGAAACTGTCTTCCTCTTCCCTTAGCAAAAGTTGCTTGCTGGTGTTCAAATGCAAGTATTTTTGTATTTGAACTCTCTGATGATAGATCCTGGAAAACCTTTTAGAAAAGGTAGCTAAATTGTGAGTTGGATGCAGCCTGGATAAGGGGTGCTGCTAGTCAGCCCCTCCTGCCCTGCAAATTAGCTGACATATCCTTGTAGGCTGAGAGCCCCTAGGAGTATGAGACTTGAGACAAAAGACGAAAGAAACCTTCTTCTGGAGGTGAGTTTATGTCCACAGGATGGGGAGACAGTCGTGTGACACTCAACTAGAGACTTTTAGATAAGCAGGTAAAATCCAGGCAGCTCTCAGCGTAAAACTTTCTTAAAATTGGATCTGATGGTGCAGGGAGAACTGGGATGAGTTTGATGTAGGGCAGTTGGTCTATAGAAACCTCCAGGAGCTGCGAGCTTAACTGCTAGGCCCCGACTTCACCAGAATATCTTTAGAGGTAGGAGGCAACATTCGCCTCAGAAAGGCCACCCTTGGAAGGGAGGGGTGAGCAAAGGTCAGGGGAGCACACTGGAGCACTTTGGTGGAGGATTGGGGGTTTTAAAGTGGTGGGAGAGTTACAGTGACCACACCCAAGGGGAGAAATAAAAAATTAACAAGGGTATAGAACAGTAGAACTTCCTTAAAAAGAATAAATAAGGCCATCACCTCAATACTGAAAATACTGAAGTCACCCTTCTTGAGAGAGTAACTAGATAAAGTTTGAAAGAGGAGAATCCCTCCAAGTGTGGAGTGCTCTTGAACTGAATGCAGGATCATAGGGAACTAGAATATTCAGATATAAAGGGCCTTTGAGCTCTCTATCAGATTCTTCAAGGACTCAGATTTTGAGTCCAAAGAAGTAAAGTGACTGTTCCAAATAAATTAGAGGCAGAACCAGAATGAGACTCATTCATCTATTCACATGTTTGTCCACAAACATCTGGGGAGCACCTCGTGAGGCCAGGTGTGGTTCTCAGCCTTGGATCTGGGGAGGGACTCATAGACCAGTGCTTTTCCAGTCAGCAGGCCTCCTGGCTTGCTCTCCTCCCGATAAACATGTCTGGCATCAGACTCAGACAGGTTGGACCCACAGATCCCCAAGATAGAAAAAACAAGCTCACTTCCATATCTGAAAGATGATGAGTCAAGGAAGGAGTAACAGAATGAGTTTCACAGATTAATTTGCCAGATATAAGTGCAACATTGCACTTGAAATGCTATTCTATATTTGTGTTGACCTTTACCCAAGATAGTTACTTGGAATAGAAGCTTAAAAAAAATAGAAATGGGTTATTGGGCTTGTTGTGAATATATGAAGATTAGAGAAAAGTTGGTGAATGGGGATAAGGTGCTTAGAGAGAGGACTCAGTGAGCAGAAGAGGAAATGGTAAAAAAGGCTATTGCAGCAAGAAAAGGAGTATTTACCAAATGCCAGCCCCTGTATAAGCAGTTACAAGCTCGAATGGAACTACAAGTGGTTCTTCGGTTTTATCTGGTAGAAGACAATCCCTGTCTCACTAGGTACTAAGTGAATTCCTGGACTTTTTGCTCAAAATGTGCTCCATTCCCAAAGATGCTTTTGCACATGGGAAACAACAGCCAAATGAAGGGGCATCTTGGCTTTGCTGCCCACATGTGGGAGTCCTCGCCCGCACTAATGACAGTAGCTGATGTGTATAGTGTACTTTATACACTGGGCAGCATTTCTCTAGCTAATAACTGTGAGATAGTTGAGGAAGGTGTTATTATTCCTGTTTTTCAGATGAGGCAACTGAGGTTCTGGGAGATTAATGGGCTTGCAGATCACAGAGTTAATCTGTAGGAGAGCCAAGTCAAGTCTTCTGAATCCAAGCTTGCTACTTTCTCTACCAGGATTTCTCTTTCATCCCAAGGTGGGGTGGGACTCCAGGTTGAAATCTGTTGAGGGCAGGCAGACATTAAGACCATTGTGCCTGACTTTTGGAGCTAACAGATAAGATGCTACCTGGGGCCATTTCAATGTGATTTTATCTTTGACCTAGTTTCATTTGGTTGGCTCAGGGGACACGGAGATGTTCCTGGATTGTGTGATCTAGTCTTCTCTGGTTTAAGTGTTCTTCATCACAAAGAATATTTGGTAATTATAACAATATGTTTTCAACATGGTGAAATTGGTAGAACAATGAACTAAACTGGTGCTCCACTAGGCATTCTTAGTACCTGTTATTCCCCTGAGTTTCCACTGAGCTTGGGTCATTCTGTAACTGAGTCATCTCAGTGCTCTCAGGGTGACAAGAAAAATGTGGCAAGATGTGGCTGGTCCCTGCTTATGCATTCTCCAGGGGATTCTGTCACCCTCGCATGGATGGGCATATGAGTGACTATCTGATCTTCCCTTTCAGAGCTGCCAACTTCAGGAACTTTACCTTCATCCAACTGAATGGAGAATTTTCTCGAGGAAAGGGACTTGATGTCGGAGCCCGCTTCTGGAAGGGAAGCAACGTCCTTCTTTTTTTCTGTGATGTTGACATCTACTTCACCTCCGAATTCCTCAATACATGTAGGCTGAACACACAGCCAGGTATGGGTCGGCTGGATCCTTTCTTTAGTGAACGGGCCCAGGAGAAAGAGTCTCAGAGAAGACAGGACCTGGAAAAGCTGCTTAAAACTGAAACCCTGGTGACACAAATGGGTTAAAGCGCAGCACCGTGTGCCTATCCACAGCCACTTTAGCATGAGTTCAGTCCCTGCCCTGGAGGTGACCCACACAGCATGGCAGATCATTTCTGATCCGCCCACTGCTCCCCTCAGCAGTGTACTTCAGTCTACCTGTTCTCTCCCCACCCTGTCTCCGGTGAATCCTCTCATCGCCCCCGCCCCACCACCACACACACACCTCTGGCCTGTATCCCAGTTCTTGCATGCATAAGTAAATAAATCTTAAAAAAATATGCTTTAACAAAATGAAAGGAAAAGGGGTAACTGGGGGCAGTTATCATGGGAGAAGGACCATGAGCAGAAGAACCAACAAACCAACAATATAAAACTTGTTTTCGGGGGGTGGCTGATACTCAGCTGCTAACTACTAGAGTGACTATATCAGTTGTTAATATACTGGAATTCTGTGTTCATTGGTACAGACGAGTGTCGGGGAGACCTCTGTTCCTTTTGGCAAACCTTCAAAGGGCTGATATATAGCAGGAGGAGATCCCCAGAATACTCTTCACGTTCACACACATTCGTTGACATCCTAGGCCACTGACTGTCATTATTTTGGATATCACTCCTGTGGAAGCAGAACAGACGTATTTAACAGTCTGCCTGGTCTACCTGATGCAGAACTTCTAAGATCCGTTTTCTAACTGAGTGAGAGGAAAAGTGGATGCAGGTGCCTGGGAGGTTTCAGAGGGTTGAATGTAAATGAACAAACTGAATCTTTTGATCTGGCACTTCATGTGGACATTTGCTTTCTGTTTTGCAGGGAAGAAGGTATTTTACCCCGTCCTTTTCAGTCAGTACAACCCTGGCATAATCTACGGCCACCACGACGCGGTCCCTCCCTTAGAACAGCAGCTGGTGAGTAATTACCACAGAGGTGCCTTTGTGTGTCTTTCATTACCGGGGGCACCTGACCATGAGCAAAGGGGAGTGGACATGTGTCGATTGATTCCCATAGTAATTTTTAAGTTTGGCAGATGTTCTGGCCTTTGCTCCAGTGCCTTGTTGAGTCACAGTTCTTGCAATATTTAAAAGTGGAAAATAAATAGGAACAGCACCTTACAGAAAGGTAATTTCACACCTTCATAGTTTTCCTCTATGGGTATTGGAAGCTGTCATTATAGTATTCCTGCCTCATCTGTGGTTTACTTTCCCTGGTTTCAGTTATCCCAGTCAATTGCAGTTGGAAAATACTATCTGCAGTAAGATAGTTTGCAGAGACACAAGCCACATTCATTTAGCTTTTATTCTGGTATATTAGAACTAACTGTTCTGCATTATTACTAGTTCTCATTGTTAATCTCTAACTTGTCTCATTTATAAATGCAACTTTATCCTAAGTATATATATATATATAAAACAGTGCATCTGTGTGAATTTTGTACTATATCCATGGTATAGGCATCCCTGGCATTCTTAGAACAGATCTTCTTGAATTTGAGGAGATTGTTGCATTGCATTGTGGATGTATGCAGCTTGTTTTCTTTTTCTTATTACAAATCCTATGAGGTGGGCCCTCCCTGGTGGCACAGTGGGTTAAAGCACAGCACTGAGAAGCTAAAGCCACTTCCGCATGAGTTCGATCCCCGCCTGCCCCGGAGGTGACCACATGACGTGGGCAGACCTCTCCTGACCCTCCTGCTGCTCCCCTCAGCAGTGTACTTCGTCCATCTGCCTGTTCTGCTCCCCACTCTGTCTCTGGTGAAGCCTCTCGCCGCCCCTGCACCTCTGGCCTGTACCCCAGTTCTGTATGCATAAATAAATAAATCTTTAAAAAAAAATCCTATGAGGAAAGAAAGGTGAGATTTATGTTCCCATTTGGAAGTCAGAAAGTGGTTCTCACCTCAGGGCCACTGTGAGTGAGTCAACGGGAAGACAGGACTGGCCCTAGTGCCCATCACACCACCACTCCCACGCATCACAGTGCTTTGGGCAGATGGAACATTAAATGTGTCACTGGTAAGGTGACTTTGAAAGGAACACTGGAGGGACTTGCTGAGCTCCTGCCTGCCTTGGTGGCGGTCCCCAGGTCCTCTGTGGGCTGTGGTGTCTCCTCCGTGGTGGTGGCAGTTCTTCCATTTAGCAGAGACACAGCCAGCAGGAGGAGGAAGGGTAAGGCCAGAAAAGAGTCTCTGTGTGCTTTGGGCCTGCCCCTCCCAGACTAAATTTACCCTTATTGTTGTCAGTAGTAGCAGAGAGAAGGAAAGACTTTTCCCGTGCTCAAGCTGGGCTAGGAGTCTGCAGAAATGATTTTGGTTTATCTAAACATGGAGGAACTTCTTGCTGAGTCTTGGGGACATCTGATCTGCAGCATGCCTGTTCTTCATTGCCATGGGTAGCTATCTCCTTTTAAGGAAAAGCCATATTTCTTTCCATATTTCATGCCCCTCTTAGGAAGCAAGAAAGGAAGTGTGGTGCGTGAATGTGAAGATGTGCTAGGATCCAGTCGCTCATGTTTATGAACTACGAGAGAGTCTTTTGGTTTCTGCTCACCTAATTTTAACCTGGGGAGATGGGGGCCAGGTTTCCCCTGGACTTTCAACAGGAAACAACTGGGTGTCTTAAATTCAACCCAATTCTGGTACTACCTACCTGGGATAGCATCAGATTACACTGGTAAAGGGGTCAGTGCCCTCCACTTTGGGGTCTGAAGTCAGGTTCTTCTGACCAGTTTCCTACAAAGTGGAGATTCCGGTGACCTCTCCAATGGCAAGTTCAGGTTACTACCTGGACTTCTGATTCACTGGCTATAAATCATAGGTTCCCAAAACCCTATCCTTGGGTTGGGTTAATTTGCTAGAGGAGCACAAATTCAGGAAACACATTGACTCACCAGATAACAGGTTTATCACAAAGGACATTAAAGGATATGAGCCAACAGAGAGATGAAGTGATACACAGGCTGAGCTTGTGAATAAAGGAACTTGTGTGCTTGTGGAATCTAAGGCCTGATGCAATGGCAGGTGGAACTGTTCTTGTTCCCCAAGCTAGAAGCTCTCAGAACTTCCTGCTTGTCTGGGTTTTTATTCAGTAAGCATGATTGATTAAAATAACTGACTATTGGTGATTGATTAACCTCCAGCCCCTTCCCATGAGGGATTGGGACAGAAATTCCAACCCTCTATTCATAGTTGGTTCCCTGGCAACCAGCCCTAGCCTGAGGTGCACCCCAAAGTCACCTTATTAAATTCTACAGTAGTGGAAAGGGATTTGTTATGAATACTACAACAACATTTCACCTTTATGGCTCTGAAGCATTTCTCAGGAACCAAGGATAGGAGACCAATTGTTTTAACAAAAGATGCTCCCATTGCTCTAATCACTGGAAATTCCAAGGGTTCTGAGAGCTGTGAGCTCGAATCTGTGGCAAAGGCTAGATATACATAGAGAGATCTTTATATGTTTCTTTTTTTAAAAAAAGAGTTATGCATACAGAACTGGGGTATAGGCCGGAGGTGCAGGGGTGGTGAGAGGCTTCACCAGAGACAGAGTGGGGAGCAGAACAGGCCAATTGATGAAGTATTCTGCTGAGGGGAGCAGTGGGCAGGTCAGGAGAGGTCTGTTGCGCCATGTGGGTCACCACCAGGGCAGGCGGGGATCGAACTCATGTGTAAGTGGCTTCAGCTCCTTAGTGCTGTGCTTTAACCTGCTGCGCCACTGGTGAGGGCCCTATATATGTTTCTTATAAATTGCATTGTTACAGAAAGTAAACTGATTTTCATTGAAAATATGTATTTTGTGAAATTCTTTGATGGAATGAGTTTGTGTTTAAGCTCCTGAAAATAGCAAAACCTGCATTTTCTACCCCTACCTGTATCCCAATTAAATACCTTTCATAATAAAAGTAGTTCTTTATACCCCTCATGAAGTTCTAATACTACAGTCTTACTGTATGTCTGTTTACATACTGCATGTGTCCGTGCGCTTTGTATACAGACAGTCAGATTTTTCATTTCCCACTAGCTTTTACCTACTCGGGCAATGTCACCCCCACTGAGAAACTAGTTTCTTTTCTGTAAGAGTTCAAACCTTCTAGGGAGGGCTTGAGGAATGGGATATAGGTTTCGTTTTCTTTCAAACAAGCAGAATGAAAATTCCTTTGATTTTCAAATAAAGTACTTCTTTCATTTGCTGTCAAATATAGTGAATGTTTCCACTTCATAAAGACTTTATTTGCTTGCAAGGAATTCTTTTCCTTTTACAATTTAAGGGTTGTCTTCTTTGATAACTGTCCCTCAAGGGGAGAAGGGGAACGGTGTAAAGGGGAGCTGGAGGTAGGGGTGGTATGAGCGAGCCAGTTTCTTAGATCCTGAGTTTTAGTGATCACACCAGACTTAGAACTCACACTGCTGGTTCAGTAGCTGAAGCCTCTATATTACCCTGTAACCTTTAACATGAACTTCCAGATACTCTGAAGCTTCATAGAGCACACGGGCCTGATGTTCGAGAGTTCAGTTTTTATGACTGTTAAGCCCAGAGAACCACAGCAGCTGTCTGTGAAAGGGCTCTCCTTCCAAAAAAAGAAAGAAGGAAAGTTATTGATTATGTTCTTTATTGAATGAACCTTTTCTTGAGCGCTTGCTGCCACAGAATAAGTGGGAGTGAGGGGTGATGAACTGAACTAGCTTCTATATCTGAGCCTAGTTCACATTCCCTACCCCTAGAAGTGATTTACTCTTTGTCTACCTGGAAGTGATTCTGGGGATCATCTCACTTGCTCACTTTTCTTTTTATAGACTTGTTCAAGATCACACAGTCAACTAGTAACAGAGCTCAGTCCAAAAGCAGGATTTCGTCCACTAGCGCAGTGTACTTAGATTTGCTTTAGCTCCAGATGACCATTGAAATATAGAGGAAATGCCCTGACAGAAATCCCAAAGATGAACTACAAAAGTTAATATGCTAGAGCTGGAACACACACGGTAAGGGAGATGGTAAAGGAAAGACTTCCTACCACAGGTTCGTTTTGGCTCAGCCTTGAAAGCTATGACAGTGTTACTAGTCAGTTCTTGCTAGCCTTCCCTGGAAGTCGGGAATATGTTGGTATCAGAGGAGAAGGGAAGACACAGAAGCACAACCTCACTGTTACAAAAGTCACTTTGCAAACAGCACAACCTTTTCCTGTAGTCCCTGCACTTGTGCCAGCTTTTACTTCTCCTGGCTGCTGTCACTTGGTAACATTTCAGTTGCAGACCAAATCCTTTTTTTTTTGTGCTTTTTTTTTTTTACAAAGTCAAACTACTTTTTCCTTGAATTTTGTAAAGACGTATATCTTTTGAGTTTGGACCATTATGTAATAACTTGTAGAGGAAGTAATGGAATTTTTACTAATATTTAATTTCTTGAGTTGTAATCCTTAAGGTGACACTTGTGGCTACTTTAATGTGGAAATAGCTCTCTGAAAGGGAGAACTGTAAAGTAATTATTAACTTCGGGCATTTGACTTTCTGTTCAGTTCTTGTTGAGGCCGCCGAGAAACATCTTATGACTTCCCTCTTAATCAACTCCTCTCCCCTGAACGCCAGTCTTGTCTCACCCTCTGCTAGAAATGTGTTTCCAAAGCAAAGATTAATTGCATTAAAAAACAAACAAACTTTATGGCAGAAGCTCAAAACTGTGCCAGTAATTGTTCTACCACCCACTCTCTGAAAGTGGGGAGGTGGGAGACCCTGATTCTAGTGCACTTTGCCTGGTGTCAGGACTCTGCTGTGAGCTGTCGGAGACTGTCAGTGAGGCAGCTGACCACACAGTTGAGAAAACTCTCACCAGGGTGGCCAGCTGGTACTAGCCAACTCCCGCTCAGCTCTTCTCTCCTGAGTCCTGTTGGGATGAACATCTCCACAAACTGACTCTCACCATAGTTATAAGGGAAATGTTTGCAGTCCCCAGCTGCTGGAAAGGGGTACCAGAACAGTGGATGCCCAAGCCAGCCCCAGCCAGCCTGCACACCTGCCCTGATTCTTGCGCTGAGCTCTGGGCCTGCGTCACCACAGAAATCCCCTCAGTCTGTGCTGCAGTCCTACGTGGCACTTCAGTCTGATGTCTTTGTGGCACTCTGTTTGGTGTGGGTGGTCCACCGGCTCCCGTCCTCACCCTCTCTTTGATGACACACTTACCTTTCTTCCCCTTTCAAAAAGAAACTTACCACTGACCTGTGTTTCCGTTGAAACTTCTAAAAAATTGTTGACTGGCCGCAGCACATCCTTGTGGTCTGTCTTCAGTTACTGGGAAGCAGACTCTCACTCAGCACCTGGCGTGATGTTAGCGGGCACCACCTGTGCAACTGTGTGAGCCTGCTGTGTGTGCATGACCTCCTGAGGTGCTCGGTACGGCCAGAGGCTTGCTTATTGCTAATTTTACAGGTGAGAAACTGGAAGTTCATCAGTGTGAGGTACTGGCTCAGGCTCCCACAGTTGCTGAGTGGCTGGGGTGGGGAAGGTGCTTCGTGTGATGGAGAATGGGCGGAGGATGCTGAGTGGCAGGGCACGCACCCCCTTTGGAAGGGCACACACTTTGAGGGAGGCAACAAGCCTGATCCCCGGCCACAGGATTCTAAGCCAGGCATGAAGCCTGTGGTCTGCTTGGATGCATTTCTGGTAACTATGAGGCTGGTCAAAGGTATTTTCCATTCTTGCGTGATTCTCTTGAATTAAGAAGAAATGCTTTGGGCCCTCCCTGGTGGTGCAGCAGGTTAAAGCTCAGCACTGCAAGCTAGCTGCTGCCACTTCAGTGTGAGTTTGATCCCCCGCCCTGGAGGTGACCCACATGGCTCAGCAGACCTCTCCCGACCCACCCTCTGCTCCCCTCAGCAATGTACTTGGTTGATGGACCTGTTCCCCTCTCTGTCTCTGGTGAATCTACTCACTGCACCTGCACCTCTGGCCTATCCCCCAGTTCTGTATGCATAAATAAATAAATCTAACAATAGCAACAACAACAAAAAAAACCTTGAGAACCCTTGTTGAAAGAAGAAGAAGTGCTCTGTTAGAGTTTTTGCTATTTACTTTCTTTTAGGGCTCAGATGGTCACTCAGGTGGCTGTCCCAAGGCAGCACCATGAAGCCAGATGGGTGCTGATGGCCACGGCTCCCTGCGCAGCTGCTGGGAAGCACCTTCCCAAATCTTTAGGGAAAGAAACTGATTTGCACTTTGTGTTTGAAACCAAATAGAAAATAACACCCTCATCACATGACTTGCCCACAGAGCTGCAAGTCTGGAAACTTCTGTGGCGGGCGGACTTGACAACTGTCCTTTGTGGTGTGGTGTGTTCATGGCTTGCAGTGCTTGCTGGGCTCAGAGTGGGAGAGAAAGGTGCTGTGGAGAGTTAGAGGAAGCTGATCCTTGAAAGACCTTGAAAAATGAGGATGGCCCTTAAAAACAGATCAGTGAAACTCAGGACAGATGGAGGCTTTCTCAGGGCCTCTCATCCTCTGCTGTTGGGGGCAGCATGGTATGTGTCTCCATGGCAATGGGGCAGGCTACTACAGCTCCTTACGTGGGGCCAAGGTTCGGTGGAATCAGACACTCAGCATGGACCTCAGGAAGGGGGAAACAGCTGTGTGTGTTGGTTCAGAGCCACACAATTCTAAGAGTTCCCCACTGGAATTCCCAGGTCTTCACTACACGCTGACAAGAATTCCCTACTTGAACAGAGTCTATTTCCATTGGATGGTGCCATCTCTGCCCTACGAGTGTGCCCTACTCATTCAAAGGAGAAGTATTTATTGAGTACCTATTGTATGCTAGACAGTGTTCAGATTCCAGAGCTGCAAACAAAACAAACAAACAAAACAAAACAAAATTTTCTGAATTTGTGTTGCCTGTGGTAGTGGCTGAAGATAGTCAGCAAATGAGGAAATGTATCTACAGGGCAATTTCCAAGAGTCATGCTGTTAGAGAACATTCCAGAATATAAGCAGGTGATGGTATAGAGAGTCAACTGGGAAGGGTATGTGTGTCAAGGTGACAGCTCTGAGCAAGGGGCAGAGCCCAGTGGTGATCAGGGAAGGGGTGACCAGTTATACTGCAAGTGTCCATGCTGGTGCCTTCACCAGGATATGAGTAAGGGGCGATATATAAGGAGGACATGAGCTAGCCAAGGCAGGCAGGGCTTCTGTGCACCTTCTGTGCACCAGAGGCTGCCTTGTAGATTTTATCCTACTGCATTAGGGGGGATGCAGTTGAAACCACTGCAGGATTTTAAACAAGCACATGTTGTGATATGATGTCCTTTGGAGGGCACCACCCAGTTAGCAACCTGGCTCAGTCACTCCCAGGAGAACTCCCCACTTACCCTGACAATGTACTCTGGGGTATGACCAAGTCAGTCTCCACCAATAGCTAAATTTCAACAGGCTCTTCAGTAGCGGGTTGGAGGGTTTGCCAGCTTTGAAGCTGGTGCTAATAACTGTTTATGTAGCATGTTCCCAGCCTACAAATTGCTTGGTTTCTGTCACACTGTCCCCAGGGCATTGTTCTCCTTGTTCAAAGCTCACCAGGTATTACATCCACTGAGCCCAGGGCCTGGGATGGCTGCGTCTTCATCCCTCCCCAGACCCAGTCCATTCGTCTTCTTATTTGGTGTTTTCTCTTTTAGAGTCCATGCAGACCTCACCCAAATACTTGACGTTTGAATAATGGCTCTTCTCTTTCACTGTGTTTGACTTATGAATTTAGCAGACTTAGGTGTCCCAGTGAACAAGAAGCATTAAGCCAGTCGCTGCAGCAGGAATAGTGAGCTTGCCTGACTGGGATGGAGCAGAAACCATTTTGAAATAGATGAATCAGTAGAGATTTTTCCAGACTTAACCGCACTGCCCAATCTTCCAGTTAATAGTAATGAACTTGTCTTGCTACGTGCACAATAATGTAAACAAGCTATTGTTCTGGAACAGAATTGGAACACATTTGCTGGGACAGGTCTAGCCACAGAACAGGTCCTCACTTTCCGGGGCAGTCCCCATGGGCGGCACCAGAGTCAGCAACATCTAGGTGTCCTGGTAGTGAAAATAAGGCAGTTCCCTGGGGTACAAAGTAAAAGAATTTTTAAATTCATCAAATCTCTGCAAGCCATTTGTCTACTATAAATTCACCGGTAGTAGAGACAAAGGGTCGCGCGAAGCAGGAGACAGAGGGTGACTGGGCTCACAGGCTGGAGGAAGTGTGCACCTGTCTCAGCAAAAGTCACCAGTGGTCAAGTTGGGATGAGACGCAGACACTGACCCCCGACCCCCCACCCCTGCCCTGTTTCTAATGAGCACTGGCCAGAGCCAGACGTCCCAGCAGGAACTGCTGACTGAGTGGATGGGAGCCTGCAGCCTCCCCTCCTTACGTGGGCAGGGGTCTCCTCATCTTTAGCACCTATGTGAATTATAAGAAGGAATTGTGATAGGTAGGTCCCCAAACCACCCCTAGAATTACCTCAGCCAAAAATACATAAACAGGGTTTTGTTTTGTTTTGTTTTGTTTTGTTTTACGTGTTGCAGCTTCAGCAAATACATCGGAAATGTACTTGCAGAGGGAGAGATTGCGCAGGGCCAGGTCGGCTTTGCTCAGGCAGTGCTGCTTGATGGCCGCTCTACGGCCCTGCCGCCTGGCACCACGCGGAGGCTTTTGGAAGCCATTTGGCGTTCAAATAAAGATGAATGGACAGTCCTTTTTCAGAACCTGGACTCTTAGGGCCCTTTCGCTTAGCCAGTGAGAGTTAACCAGGCTGCAGTAACACACTGAAATGCTGGGTTTTCATTTTGTTCCCTGAGGGAGCCCTATTTGTGCTCTGTGCCAGGACAGCTGAATTCGGAGTTGTTCTCTGTCCCTTTTCTCAACTTCCTGAGTCTTTTGCTGGCTCCCTGCCTGGCCCTGTGTGAGGGGCTGGCCGAAGCCTCGGATTCTCACTGGCACCGTTGTTGAGCCAGACACGGAGGTGGCTTTTCCACGGCGCTGCTCAAAAACTTGCTCTTCTTGTTGGTGTTTGAGTGTGTGAGTGCCTGCGTGAGTGAACGCTTGTGTGTGTGTGGTGTATGTGTGAGTGTGTGTCCATGCCTACACCCTCGAAACATTCCATGTCAGAGGTGCCAAAGATCACAAGGCCTGGTTTGGGGCCTGGTGAGTTTAGTCTTCCTGACTACCTGACAGCACTCGGTTCATCTGCATTTCTCACGCGGGACTGGCCTGTGGGCTCTCGTTCCACTGCTCACCTGGGTTTTGAACACTATTTGCCTCCACCCTGTCCTCTCCTCTCTAATGACACTGCTGTCCTTGCAGGTCATAAAGAAAGAAACTGGATTTTGGAGGGACTTTGGCTTTGGGATGACATGCCAGTACCGCTCAGATTTCATCAACATAGGTAAGACTGAGACACTTGCAGCAAGGCTGCTTCTCTGCTGCCACCCAGAGGCCACTGGCCTGTGTGGCCACGCGATGTCCCATCAGGTTCCAAGGAGTCTGGTGGCCAAGGGGGTGCCATGTCCAGACAGGCCCTTCTGCGTGTACTGGACTTGGGAGCACGTTGAGGCAGAGGAGCCTCCACCATCTCCACCAGCACCTCTCAGCTGCTCCGAGGCACCAACCTGAGGCAATTTATTGCATACAGGCAGCTTCGAAGCCGGTGCCCGGCTGCTTCCTTCCTGCTGCTCTGACTCCTATGCCTTCTCACATAGCATATCTGGGGCCTCCATAATAAAGGCTGCCATTAAAAAACATTAAGGGCAACAGGGGGGGAAGTTAGGAAAATCACACACCAGAAGAGATGCCCAGCCAGGGAGGTGACCCACATGGCGCGGCAGACCTCTCCTGTCTTGCCCGCCGCTCCCCTCAGCAGTGTCCTTCGTCGATCTGCCTGTTCTACTCTGTCTCTGATGAAGCCTCTCACCGCCCCTGCACCTCTGGCTTACACCTAAGTTCTTTGTGCATAAATACATAAATCTTAAAAAAAAAAGAAAATTCTAGATGTTATTTCAAGCCCTAAGTGTGAATATACACACACATTCCCAGAGTAGAAGAAAGCACTTCAGTTGCAGGTGAGAGACCATGGGTCTCAGAGGCAAAGGACCCTCTCAGGAGGTGGGTGGCAGAGTCACAATGACCACAGAGGCTCTCCTGCTCCCTCCTTGTGGTGGTCCTTACCCCATGCCTCTGAGAATAGCTTTGGAGCTTTTACCTGTCTAGGGTGTGCTATGCAGCCCAAAACCTTGGGTGAACTCTGGGCCAGGATGAAGTCAGGGAAGCCCTCCCCTTAACAGTGTGGAGACCAGTCTCCCACCCTCTGCCCACTGTGGGCCTCCCAGGGGTCCTCATCCTATGTCTGCAATCTTGGACAGAGCCGCAGGGTGTCTATTTCAAATCTCATCCAGTCAGTGGCCCCAGGCTTATGTTCAGAGGTTAGGTGGACTGTGAACCCTCCCAGGAATCACTGGGTTATTTTAGGAAAAATAATACTTGAAGTCCAGCCTGGGAAGTAGCAGCACGAGTCCCCACGATGCTGAGTGGTGGGTGCCCCCAGACACTCAGCAGCTAACCACAGGTGTTCGTTGATTTTGCTAAGAAATATCCCTAAATGTTGTACAAATCAAATTTCCAAAAATGATATTTTAAAATTTTCTGGAGGATTTTTCCATTTCAAGAAATGCTGTTTCCTTCTTGTATGTATAAGAAAAAGGTGATTTTATGATGCTGTGTGTTTATCAGATTTGGAGCTCTATTGGGTTTCCCTGAAGATTAGACATAGGTATGATTTTAAAAAAGCAGTATTACCTGAATAAAAATAAAAATAATAAAAATAAAGCCACGTGGCTTCACCCTGGTGGCACAATGGATTAAAGCGCCACATTATGAAGCTCTCTGAAGCCACTGCAGCT